TGGGAAACAGCTAAAAAAAAGCATTGGAAATATCTAAGATTATTAGGAGAGTGAGACTACTTATCGAGGAGGTATTTAAGAAAAGATGAAATTTTTAAGGCCGCCGGTGGCAACAAAGACATAGTAGGAAGAGACTCAAACAACCTGCTTGGATACCAACTTGATATTGAAAACAAATAATTCTAAAGGGCTTGATTGATCCCTCTCATAATCTTCTATTTATAAAAATAAATTGATACCAGAGTACATAATAATTAGGGTAACCTTAAACACAATATAATCATGATAAATAGGGTAACCTAGACACAATATAATCATCATAAATAGGATAATCCTAGACACAATATAATCATGATAAATAGGGTAACCCTAGATATAATATAATAATGATAAATATATAAATATTCTAACAGTTTCATCCACCCATTTTGTTAGTTTGTTACGGATTATGTACTAGAGTGAACGATTAATTGAACCTATTATTTGATCATAAACTACTGTGGATAATAAATTCATTGACTTTTATAATAGTTCTCTTAAGACTTAAAGTCACAGCAATGCTGAGATAAATATTTAATCGTTGCATTATTCTGACTTTGAGAAAGGAAAGTATCTTTTTCATTTTTCCATCAATTTTCATCCCAAGCACAAAAGTAAGAGTTTCTCAAACGAAAAAGTTTTCAACTTAAAAATTCCTTTAAACATTGATTAAACCCGAAACCAAAACATTAACATTGACAATAGCATAAAGTGAAAAAGAAATTAGGATTATCAAACATAAATAGTTAAAACCCTATGGCACATAAACATTAGAATCGAATAAAGTTCATTACAGAAACTTACTGTATGACCGCATCCAAAAGCCATGTCCTTCGGATTGGTTAAGCAAATAGGGCATGCCTAAAGCAAGAAACACATTTATCTTGTAAGCATAATTTGATTTTAAAATAAACCTAATGCAGGAGAAAGACACCTCAATCGGTACAGGAAGCATACTGATTCTACCGTAGCTGGACCTGATGGCTCAACTGATTCAAATTTTGGAACTGCTAGAACTGCATTGTCACGATCTATTACTTCCTTAGGCGGAGGAATAGGCCTTTTACGTTGATAGCTAATTGACTTTTCACTGCACCAGAATAATTTGAGATCTGTATCTTTGGATATAATTTAGAATTATCACACCTGTATTTCATTACTTACTTGGCAAGTTGAAGGTTTTGGGTTATCCGGTATTGAATTGGAATTTCCATAAGGGCAGCAAGTGCAAATGCTGCTTCCTTCTTTGATGCATCTTTGTTTTCAGACATGATCTTTGTGAAATTCACAAACTGAAGGGGAAAGAAGGAACAAAAAGTGGATAACATGTCCATATTATAATAGTAGTATTTAGTAGTAGTAGTAGTAATAAAAACTCAAATCATAAATGGTTCACAACTAAATGTGGGTATTCTAAAATATGGAACACTTAAATTTTGCAGTCTTTTTCTACTATTACGCAGTCATTTTAAAACTGATTACCTCCAATTCACATACTAATGCTATGTTTAAATATATCAGAACGATTTCTTCAAAATGTCTGGTTTTAAATACTCGTTAGAAAAAGAATTTTGGACTAATTCAACCATATAAAACTAGTCTGTATCTACTTATACACTATAATTTGATTATATCTCAAGTAGTCCAGCAGTACTGTTTCTTTTCAATTCAAGCTGTCATGACTCATTTACACAAGTATGTTTTTATGACTTATCTTTGATACACAAAGTTGTTTGTTAGCTTCAACTTGAGGGGAAATTACAGAATATTACCGTATCCCATGTAAAAGAGTACTATTGTTTTTATTGTGTCAGTACATAGTTAGTGTTGTTGGGTGGGTCATTTATTAGTTGTAAAATAATTTGTACTCGACCTAGATTACAGGCAGAGAAGGGGTATAAGACCATATTATATTCAGAATCTAGTTATAAGTATTTCTATACCCTTAACCGTCCCCTAAAATTTAAACAATACTAAACACTAATTACAAACTCACGAAAATGAGCACATAGTCGGATACATCAGTCAAATACCTGAAAGTTGTCAAATAAGCGCTGAGCAATGCTATCATCGAAGTTCTTCATTTCATCCCATGGACCATCTCCAACTCCAACCAAAATAATTGAGAGGGGATAGTGACTGATGAATGATGATCAGAATAGCTCTACACTAAAGACAGATACCAAGAGCAGTAGCAAAAGAAATTGCTTTACCTTGCAGCAATAATGGAATTAATAGTTGTTTCTTCCTGTGGTCTAAACTTTCCATGTGGTGTGCCTGAATTTCTGGTAACCTATAAAAAGAAGATATTTCAGAAATAAAAAATAAAATTTGTGAAAAATAAATCATGTCACGAAAAGATACTAATAAAATAACATAAATAGGTAAAACCTGTCCATCAGCAATAAGGACAAGAACATGGTATTGACCATTGCTTCTTTCCACAATATCAACTGCTGCATCGATTACAGGGGCAAATGATGTTGGACCTATGTATAAGGAGATAACTGTCAGGATGGGTATCACTGTTTAGATACCCAAGTCATCTTTCTCCTTCAATTTTTTTTTCCTATTTGGACTAGAAGAATAATTCATTGAAGAAAAATGGAAATATAAAGCAGGATTATCCTTAAAAATGATATAAAACCTAAAAAAAAGACCAGAGCATATGCATCAACCTAAAAGGGAAATTTAGTGCACATTTATGCATAGCTTATTTTAGACAAATAAGCACTTTGTTTTAAAAAACTCTTTCGGGAAGCTGTAGAAAAGAACTTTCATGACCCTACATAAGATCGTCAACAGAAAGTTTGCAATTAATGGAAACAGCAAAATAATCATATCCACTTGTCCTACTCTAACTGGGAAGGAATAAATGAGCTGCTTTCACGTTTTTTATTGGTGCCTACAGTTCTTCCATAAAACTCGCTTCAATCTCTAGTCCAACTTGGCAGATGATATTCTTTGCATTCTACTTCTAGATTCAGGTAATTCTAATTTTATATCTAAACCTCGGTATATTGGTTCTAGAGCTACGAAGCATAGACACGGACATGGGGATACAACTAAATTGATATATATATATATCAACCCGGCTCACCACATATTTGAGCCGGGTTGGGTTTGAAAAAAATGTAATTTTTTTATGCAGGTTAGTTTTCAACCCGGCTCACTTAGAACCCGACTCACCGGATTGAATCTGTAGTGAGCCGGGTTGGCTCACCAACCCACCTAATTTAATTTAATATTTATTATTTTGTGTTCCAATATTATTAATTATCATTTTTTATTACATTGCAGATAGTGATAAAAAAGATGTTTCAAGAGAGAAAAATATTATAAATTTATTTATTCAAAACCCTAATATTATAAATGAAAAAGTATTACAAAAGTTATCAATATTAAAAACTTATTTGTTCGTCTTTTGTACATGTTTTTGGATTACGAAACATTTATAAAAAAGAAGTCTAACAAAATATTTTGTCTCTTATGATACGTAGACTTGCCCTTCAAGAGTTGTCATTAGGGAGCATGAACTGTTAGACACTGATATATGTGACACGTATTTTTCAATACATAAAAAATGCTTTGAGCCAAGGATTATAGTATGAAGATAAAGGCAATACTAACATGGTTACTCTAATGTGGTTTGGACAGGATCACCTATAGAAGATTCAATTTTGGATATTGTGTTCCTATTAGAGATCTCATGGAAAAACAAGAAACATAACATAGTTTCTAGATCCAGTGCAGAAGCAAAATATCATGTTACGACAACAACCACTTGTGAGCTTACATGGCTAAAGCAACTACTACAAGAACTAAAAATTGTGGACATATTTGTTACACTTTACAATACATCAAACCTAATCTTCCATGAAAGAACCAAACACATAAAGATTAATGATCACTTTTTTAGAGAAAAGGTGCTCTTTAGAGTAAACACAACCGATTTTGTCAATTCTATCAACCAATTGGTAGACGTGTTCACCAAGTCCCTCATATGCCCTTGGGTTAAGTACATTTGTAACAAACTTAGTATATATGACATATACTTTAACTTGAGAGAGACTGTTAGAATGTAATTAGCCACTAGCAATTACAGATTGTAGAAAATTAGGATTATTTATTCCTGATTTTTAGTCAAGAATTTGTTGTATTTAATTCCGTAAATTGGTATAAACATACCACTTGATCTGCATTTGACACACAACATTCAGATAACACTTTCTTATAAACTGCATACAAAGCCCATTACTTTCACAAGTTTTCTAGGTCATTGGATCAGCACATCAACTAGCATGTCTTCTACAAGTTTTTACGTCATATTTTCATGTATACATTTTATAATTTTTCTTACAGTGGTGACTTGCCATCATCATCATACAGGTGCTTCTAGACAATCACTATAGTAGGGTTATTCTGCAGGGTCCTAAATATGTTTGATATATAAACTTGTAAAAGAAAATTGTCAAAAATGGTCAGCAAGGACAATAATATTAAACCTGCCAATTTTAAGTGTGGCACAATCTCTCGGTAGCGTGCAAGTACTTCCTCAAAACCGTGACAATAGCGATCATCGGGATAAAAGCTGAACACATTCTGATCATGTGTATATGCTACAAAAGTATACTAATAATATCAATAGAGGAGAACAAATAAAATTTCTTCGAAAAGTAAATCAGAAACAGCTTCTCACCATCACCAAATCCAAAACATGGGATCAGATTGTCTTCATCAAACGAAGAGAGAGTACGGCCAATAATAGAGATCGCTTGCTCATATGGATTAGGAGTGTTTCCAATATAATGAAGGCTTTTATGGTTGAAAGAATATTTTCCTACAATTACCACGGTGTGACTTTTCAGCGTTCTCCACAGTTATATGTACGTATACAATTAATTTTATGTTCAACAGAAATAACCTGTCCACTCATTGCTTTTGGTGAAGTCAATACCAATTATAAGATTCGAAGACTCCAAACCAGCTTCTCTCAAAGCGGAAACAACCTGAGATATAACATGCAAAAGCTAAGTTTTTTAGGAAATCCTCGCGAAACAGCAA